TGTAAAAAGTAATTTTAAACTGCCTATTTTATCTTATCTCATGCATTAGATAATGACTTATTAACATTTCAATTTAGAATAACAATATTTGTTTAGTAATGTTTTACATCGTGCAAGTAACACATAATTTATTGTATTAAATTTACTTTAAAATAAGGAATAATAACTATAACAAAAGTAAGGTTCCATTTATTTTTTCCAGAATTATAGAAATTGCTGGTGGGCGAGAAGTTTTTTCTCAAAGCAGGGGTAAAGTAGCAGCTAGAAAATCACGCTTCCTTGCTGCATCAAATTCCTTAAATAACGAAGATACTCAAACAGATAACAAGTTGTCAGTTAAAAGAAATAATAAATCTCCAAACACGCAGACTATATGGGAATTAAGGAGCCGGTAATTTGAAAATTTGATTAGTAGGATATTATACTTATTGTAAAATATGTTAAAAAAATTTGTGCATATACATTTTCTAGATGTGGTGACACAAGAAAGCAGCGCTCCAATAGAGAAGTAACAGAAACTGTATTTGCTTCAGAAATACATTCTGTGCGACATAATCCAACAAAATCTATTCTTGACTATGATTCTCCTAAAAGCAATCACACCAATCGTATTATTAATTACGATTCAATTCTGAATAGCAATAATGTAGAATATGGTGTACCAAAAAATATTACGGATATTGATTATGGATTATCAAAAAGCTGCATAGATTATCAATCGAATCACACTACTCCAGCAAGAAGCATGGCTATAGTCAGTGATGGTGAAGTAGTCGTTTTCGACGACATTGATGATAATTGGCAAAATTTACGACTAGATTTATCCTCTAATAACACAAACCAAGTTACATCTACTAATTTAAATCATGAGTCTGAAGAGTCTCAAAGAGGCCGTATTCCTCCAGAACCTCTGAGTTCTAGTATTGGAAGCAGTCCAAGCCCGACGACGGCATATCATCGTAATACTTCAGAATTCTTCAAGGTATCCCTCATTTTTTATTCACTTTCCAACTTATTATATTATTTAAATATTATGAAATATATGATTAAGTATATGTAGTTTTAATAATGTGAATTGTATGCAATACTATGAAAAAACATATGTACAACATCTTTTGAAATAATTTTTACAAAATTATATGCACTAAATAATTTTAATTCTCAGGTCATTACACCAGCTAGTGATTGCGAAGTAGATTCACCATCTTCAGAACGTAATCACAAAGTAGCAAGAGTAATTGGTGAATTACCAATAGCACAGTATTCAGAAAGTCCAAGACGTTATGGAGTGCGCGATACTCAACTTCCTTGCCTTTTATCGTCACCATCTGTGTACATGACACCAAGACCTGGCTTTCCACAAAGAGTGTTACCAACAACACCAAGTCACAATGAGGTATATTTAAATTTAAAAGTTTGAATACATATATATTATAAATTAGTTTTTCTATATTTAATTTTTCTTTTTTAAAGAAGGAAGATACTTCTACAGACATTATCGTAGAAAAGGCTGTGGTAGAAACAAATATGAATTATTCAGATGATCAAGCAATAGATGCTTCTCCACCATCTCCAAAACTCGAAGATGAAGAAGAAGACTCTTTAAAACCGTCAACTTTACCCACTGATAATATCAGCAATTTAGTATCATCTGGTGGTAGCACATTTGATTATTTATATGAGTTTTCAGAAACTCGAAAAGTGCTAGAAGAATTTTTTAAGTGTCCACCACCATCAAAAGAAAAGGAAAACAGCACAGAATCTTTCCCATTTCAGGTATAAATTAGATGTTCATTTAAATATTAAAAAATAGCTTATACAGTATGAATTATTTTAGATATATCTCTTTTATGAGAAATGTTGTTATATATTGTTTAATATTTTATTTAATTATCTATATTGTTTTTTTACTATTTCTTAAAGGATCTTGATTATGAACTTCGAAGACAAGGAGGAAGTGCTTATGTTGGTCAACGTTTAGCAAGTGGACCACCAACCACAGAAGAAGTTTTGGTACATGAATCTCCCAAAAAACAAAGAACTGATTACTCGCAAAATGTACGTGCATTTATGCATATGATAGTTGTATGAACATATATACGTATATATATATATATATATATATATATATATATATATATACGTATAAAATGCAAATTATCTTCGTACTACAAAGTCGCTATTACTTAAATTCTTGTATTATTTTTTAGACTGGTGAGCATGAAAACAATTTCTTAGATCTTTCGGTTGGCACTGGTAGCAGTGAAGATCTTGGAGAAACAGAAGTTGGACTGCAAGTCGGACATTCTCGCAATTTTACGTTAAGTCCTGAAATGACTGATTGTGATAGTAACTGCGGAGATCTTGATAGCGAAGTTTCCTTAATGATGATGGATAATGAATTGATACCAGCCAGTGGGCTTCTTGGATCTGTCGGCGACTTAGGAAATAATTCAGATTCATTACGAATATACACTAGCATGCCGGTTCTTGAGGATGGTTTGTCCAGCGGTCATGCTAGTGATACTGATAATAATAATCCAACGGTAATGTTAATGAAACGACAGATTAATGAAATTGAGAAGGAGATTATTCAAAGAAGTCGCGTAAACGACACTGGCTATCCTACTGCAGCGGAAAACGATTCGACCGGAAATGACCTTTCCGGTTTAACCGTCAGCAAAGATATTTTACATTCTTTAAAATCTTCATCACCTGATTTGTTTGTTCCTAAAAAAGAAAATTCGTATGACGCAAATGAATTACAACTTGATGGTCTGGATCCTCTTGGTACACCTCCACCTCCAGCACCTCAAGCTAGACAAACAGTCAATTTAGAAATAGGTGGCGAAGTCGAAGCTGCTATTAAAGATATTAGAATGGCATTGCAAAGGACTAAGACTTTACCTGTGAAACCTTCAACGGAAGAACCCCTGGAACCTAATGTCAGTCCTATTTGGATACCAAGGTATTTTACTTCCTCCTTCCTTAATCTTATCATGCCTCAAAGTTTATTACTTCATTGAGTTTTATTATCTCTAATTTCTAAAAACTTATATTCTGAAATAAACACAACAAAGTTTTCTATTTAACTAAGTATTTTTGTGATATTTATAGCTTGTAATGATGATAACTATAGCTTATAACAAATTAATAAAAAATCATAAATATTTACAAACCCATTTTTATAATTTAAAGTGAGAAGTAAAAGTTATATTTTGTTGCTTTAAAAATCTAGCTATACATTTGTGTTTATTATCATTACACAGTTCTTCTTTTTTAAGTACATCTAATTAAAATTTAGTTTATCGGATGGCAGGCGGAGGATTTGCGTAGAAAATAATAGTGAAGATTCGGAAATGCGACGTGCGGGTGAAGAAGCAGACGTTGAAATTGAGGAAGGGCCAGACGAAGAAGAGGCAGATACAGATCTCGAAACTGATCGTTTGCTTGGTCAACAAAGAACAGATGATCAGGGCTTTTACGATGATAAGGTAAGATTTACAATACAATGAGAAGTAGTAAATAAATTATTTTTGATAATATTTTGGATATAATATTCTTACATGGTTTCTTCAAAGCATGATTTAACTGGGTGATAAAGTAAAAATGTTATTATGAAACGTATTTCTGTTTGTATAAAATGTGATCGTTAATACAAATTCTGTGCTGTTGATCATACAAAAACATTACGTCTTTTGAACAATTTTAAATTATAATATACGTGATTGTTATAACCAGTAACATACAATACAAATGTTGTTA